CCTTATAGGCTTATACCCGAACCAATCCATCCCATTGCTTATTTGTAGATTAACCAACTTTTTCGTTTACCAACATTACTCTATTGATCTGGTTTATGTTATTCTAACTTGAATCATAACCCTAAACCCTAAACCAAACCCTAATACACGAACCAATCAATACCATATACTCTACAACAATAACAACACCTTATAGGCTTATACCCTAACCAATCAATACCATATATACTCTAAACCATCAACACCTTGCTTATTTAGACCATCTCCAATGGTGCAATTCTTGAGAATTGCAACCTGATGTGGCAAGGGAGTGAAAGTGGGATGGTGAGTTGCATTGATGTGGGATCAATTACAAAAGTTGCAAATTTGCATCTGATGAATGTTTTCTCATGCAGTTGCAAATTTTCATGCAGCACACACATATATACAATTCCAATCATAATACTTTACATAATTCGACTAACACAACAACAAAAAACAACTTGAGAGAAAACTCAAATTAATATAACACACTCACCAATTAATATTGATTGAAAATTAAGTAGGACCCACGGTCACAATTGATGTATAGTTAAAGTTGCTGAAGTGGCAATTGGGACCATATATTTGCTCGGTGTTGGAAACTTGAACTGAAACTGGAAGTCCTCCTATGCCGAGTCATTTGGTATATAAGAAGACTGTTGGCTCTTGCGGTGTCGTTTAATTTATGTACTCATTAATGGTCAGTTGAAGGCAATTTTTAAGCACTCTAGTTTTTTTTATTCAATTATTATATCGTATTTTTTGCACTAATTTTGAGCACTCATTAAATGGGTAGAGCATGTGGCGACAGAGGAGCAGAGTTCGAAATCCGGCCAAAAATCCGGTTGGCCCAATCGTAAAGACTTCTAAAAATGGATTCAGTAGTCAACAAATAAAGTACAGTATTTTTATTGGGAGTGTAGGATCCCCTGCAGATTTAGAAGATCTCACACGCTAATAGTACAAAGTACAATACTTTTATTGGGAGTGTAGGATCCCCTGCAGATTTAGAAGATCTCAAACGCTAATAGTACAAAGTACAGTATTTTTATTGGGAGTGGAGGATCCCTCGCAGATTTAGAAGATCTCAAACACTTTTGGAAGCCGCCATGGAAGCGAAGAGAGAAGCAGAAGAAAAAATAACCAAACAGTATACAAATATAAACAAATGTTACATATAGTCCAACAAAAACAAAAAGCTGTACTTTCCCTCCCTATTTTATCCTATTATACATATGGCAACTTTCCCATCTTGTATACATTTTGGGAGCATGATCAACAAGTACGCGTCAATGTCGCCCAAAAGAATCACCACATGAAGTAGGGTTCCACAACACCTATTATGGAATCGTAACAACATGTGATGATTCTTTCGGCGATATTCAGACGGCGACTTATTGTCATTGCTCCCCTCCCTGCCTCTAACAAAGACCCTGCATGGAGAGAAAAGGAGAAACAATACAACGAAGGATTTAGTTTAACAGTCATGATCTAACAATGACATAATGAAAGGAAATGAGATCTAAAATAATACGCAGTCTCATCATTACCAATGCACCCGAAAATAAAGCATGGGATAGGAGGACGAAGAGGCGGATGGGGTTGATTTTCGGAGCATGATCAACAAGTACGCGTCAATATCGCACAAAAGAACCACCACATGAAGTAGGGTTCCACAACACCTATTATGGAATCGTAACAACATGTGATGATTCTTTCGGCGATATTCAGACGGCGACTTATTGTCATTGCTCCCCTCCCTGCCTCTAACAAAGACCCTCCATGGAGAGAAAAGGAGAAACAATACAACGAAGGATTTAGTTGTACCACTGCACCCGAAAATAAAGCATGGGATAGGAGGACGAAGAGGCGGATGGGGTTGATTTTCGGAGTTTCATATTGAGAAGATGGAAGAAAGGGTTCTTTTCAGGGATTGAGAGGAGGAGGAACGAACATCAGCAGGAGATGAGTGCCACTCGGGTTTCGGAGCACGGTCTCTCCTTCACTCATTAACGAATTTAAAGATTGACTCGTAATTACTTTTACTTTCCCTCCCTTCACATTTACTGAAAATTACACTCCCTACCACTGCCTCGGCCTTGGTAACGCCAGCATTGGTTATGGGCAAAAGCGACTTTCCGAATTCGGCAATATCTGATTGGGTGACACGCACGCGACAAGGATCGAAGGTATTTCACCATCGGATTAAGGGAAAAGTTTAGGAATTGACGGTGGGAAATGGGGATGTGCTTTTATAAATAGTCTGAATTTGTAGATTAACCAACTTTTTCGTTTACCAACATTACTCTATTGATCTGGTTTATGTTATTCTAGCTTGAATCATAACCCTAAACCCTAAACCCTAAACCAAACCCTAATACACGAACCAATCAATACCATATACTCTACAACAATAACAACACCTTATAGGCTTATACCGTAACCAATCAATAACATATATACTTTAAACCATCAACACCTTGCTCCTCCCTTATACCATAACCTTCAAGACCTTATACTGTATACCAACAACACCTTCTTCTATCTCCATCCCCAACTTTCAATGTATAATAAGTGTTTCCTTTGAAATATAAAATGGAACCCACCTTGGCAATTGCTAGCATAATTTAGGGATGTAGATGAATAGAAATTGATAAGTGATGAATTGCTAAAATTGATGATGTGGCGGTAGGGACCTCGTTTAGAAATTGTTGTTCAATTTTAGGGATGAAGATGATCAATACACTAACCCAATACCATATACTCTAAACCATCAACACCTTATACAATATCGTATTTTAGGGATGGAGATGATCAATACACTAACCCAATACCATGTACTCTAAACCATCAACACCTTATACAATATCGTATACCTATACGCTGATAAATTAAAATTATAACTTGCTTTTCAAAACATAAATTAAAAATTGATACTCACTAAGTGTCGAACCACAAACCTCTACTTTATTGACTAAGCAAATAACGGACAATTAACCAATTAAGCTACATCACATTGATGACCATTTTGCATAATTTCGCTTTCTTATTAAGTGAAGGGTTAAAATGAACGATAAATATATCACAGGGGATTGTTTCAACTTCGGCGGGGACTGAGAGAGTGGAAAAGGGGTAATTATTCTACCAAAAAAGAAAAGAAAAGGGGGAATTAATGAAGAGTTAAATTGGACGGATTGTCTTTACCACGCCACTACAAAATCATTCGGAGCAAAAACACGCAGGTTCAAATCAAACAATAAATGATCAGCATTTATAAGCAGATATAAAGAATTATATCTAAGTACTGATAAATGTGTCACGCTACAATAATTATGTCTACGTTTTTTTAGTAATAAGGCATGATCAGCATTTATAAGCAGATATGAAGAAAATATAAAATCGAGAAAAAATAAGACAACACCTACCCTCACCCTTTAACCAATCGATACCATATGCTCTAAACCATCAACACCTTATAACCTACCCATATACCATATACTCTATACCATCAACAACCTAATACCCTAAGCAGTCAGTAACCATTTCCTTTAACATCAACACCTTATACAACAATCGTATACCTATACGCTGATAAAATTTTACATTTTGAAAATACTTGCCCAACTAAAGTACATAGGTACTTCAAAAGTGAAATTCTAACTTTCGTTTCAAAACATAAATTAAAAAAATATCCTCACTCAGTATCCAACCACAAGCCTCTAATTAGTCTACAAGAGGTTTGTTATGTACGAGTGCATTGCATAAAGAGGGGAAATCGGTGAGAGAGTGGAATGGGATCTCAATTAATGAAGAGTTAAATTGGGCGGATTGTAGTTTACCTCGTAACGCTAAATGTGTAAAGAGACACGCTAGCATTTACCAAATCCCAAAAAAGATGGAACACAGAATTATGATTAAATTGCGTGAACTCAATGAATGATCAGGATTTTAGAAGCAGAAGCAGATGAAAATAAGTAAAACAAAGAATCGCCACTGAGATAGACAATTATCAAAGGCCCAACCTAATGACAATCCGGAACTCAGTATCTATTATCAACAAACTAGGTGTCATGGGTCCATGTACAAGCCCACGTTTGAATGTTATTTAAAAGCTTGCAAAAATCAATGATCAGACCCAGTCCAACTAGAATTAGTCCTAAACGCACCGTTAATACATAAACACAAATTAAGGAGACCTCTCCATCTGATTCGAATCAAATTAGGTCTTCTTCATCTCCTTCCTCAATCCTCTGGGCGAGACGAACACTGCATATCAGGAAACCTTAATTTCACCGAGTGATAGAAGTTTCGAGAAAATGACAATAACGCTAAGACAAGATGACAAAGCACTAGCGACATGAACCCTAGGGTTAGCAAACCTCTTTCAAGGGTTCTTTTGCAAACGAAAAGTTTGATGAACACAATAATAGACATGGTCGCCGTAATCGTGTTAGAAAGAGATAGGCGAGTAAATTCCGCACGGAAATAAAATGGCGATGAACAAAACGTCGATTTGTGGATAAAAGGATTTGGGGTTCAAAACGATGATTATGTGAGGATTTCATATTGGATGGGGATCTTCTCTTCGAATGTGGATACATAGATTTGGCGTATGAAACATGATGATGTTGGGGATTTGAGATTGGATAGGGAGCTAAATCGAATGTGGATCAAATAATAAAAGGATTTGGGTTTCGAAACGATGATTTTGTTGGAGATTTCAGATTTGATAGGCAGCTTATGATCGAACTTCGAACTTAGAGGGGACCCTCCAAGGCGAATGAGGGATCGTAGAAGGGAGACTGGAAATTGGTTAGGGCGGCAGGTCGTATCCATAGGGTTTAACCTCTCAATCGATATCATTAAACCGGGTACAGTTAGGTTGAAGTCCAATTAATAAAGCATAAACGCTTCGTGATGCTTTTGGTAATTTTCCTTGCCCCCGGTTACCCGTACCCCAGATTTTGCCCTGGGCACTGTAGAACTGCCCACATATATATATATATATATATATATATATATATATATAGAGAGAGAGAGAGAGAAGCAACATCAATAGCATGAAGGAGAAGAAACAGAGGAAACCCAAAGGAAGAAAGAGAGCGTGAGAGATAGAGATCCAAAAGGTGGAGATTTTTTGGAGGGAGAATGAAGGAGGGGGAGATCTAATTTTGGATGCAAGTCAAAATCACTTGTCTCTTCCTCCAACCTCCAACAATAGGAGTACAACATTCTCCGGCTTCTGCATCGACAAGGGAGAATCATGCATGTGCTCTACTCTGGTTGTGGCAACGGAAAGAAAACAGGGTAATGCTCGGAAGAGGTTGGGGGCAATCCTGCGGCTGGTGGCTCTGTCTTTGGTCCGAGCAAAGGTGGAAGGATGGTGGTGGCTGCCCAGAGTCGAGAGAACAGAGACTGAAGCGACTCTCTCCTTTTTTATTTTTAAATAAACTACTCTCTCCTCGGTTAGGCTTAGGGTTATAGGGTATGTGCTATGGGTAGAGCTTGGGCTTGAGAGTGTTTGGGACTGGTTGGGCTGTGATTAGGAGCTTGGCCTGGGGAGAGTTTGGGCTTTGGTTGGGCTATGGGTGTGGGGGACTGGGCTAGGGAGATAATGAAAGAATTTCGGTTGGTAGGTTTTGGAATTCGGAAATTCGGGTCGGTCAAGACTACCCTGGTTTCTGAATTAGTTCCATTTTACTTCCAAATTTCTAACTGAATAATAATATTTTGATTTTGATTCGGATTAAACTCGGTTCATTCCAGTTCGGATGGTGTGTTATCGAACCGGATGTCCACCCCTACCTCAATCCAAACACTAATTTCTTTCCCTCCATTCACTCTTCACTCTTTCCCTTCTTTTCCCCTTGTTAATAAGATTAAGTTAGTTATGTATCGCTTAGAGGATGTTCTCATCGTTAACTGGGTCGGCGGCGGTATGATTTTTGTCTCCCCCATCCCATAAGTACCCCACCAAAAGTATCTCTTCGTATATGGATTATATTTTAATCTCTTGATGACAGGAAGAGTAATTCAAAAAATAAAGAGTTGAAATGTAATTGAGTGGCCCGTCAAACCAAATACTAATTTATTTCACTTCATTCACCCTTCACTCTCCCAGTTTTTTCTCCATGTTAGAGAAAGCTGTTTTTTACTGGTTTGGTCCTCTCTGAAATGCTCTCGTCTCCTCTAAAATCTCCAACGCCGACGTCGGACCTGTCTATGACCAGACAGCCTCCGGATCCCGCTCCCATATCCCTTTCTCTATCCCCATTGATCCCCTGCTTGTCCACGACAACTCCTTAGCTAAATTTCAAGGTCGCCCTCACCAGAGCGCCTCCTCCGACTACCAGTAAGATGAACCAATGGACTTTTGTTGGGGAAAATGATCTGATTCTAGGTTCCATTGGTGGGGAACCAGAACTAAAGCTCTCCGACATATTCAAGGAACAATTATGTCTTACTTGAAAAAAAACTAGTCCTTCGACTGCTCAGTCGGTGTCGTATGGCTACCTATGCTCACAGCTTAGATGGAAATGGCGGCCCGCGAGGATGCTGGATATTCTCGACCTCAACAACGATACTTTCATGACTACCTTTAACAATGAACAAGACTATCTTCATGCTCTGACGGGTGGCCCATGGGCCATGGGTTATCATAGATCACTACCTGGTGGTGCACTAGTGGTCTTCGACCTTCCGAACCTCTCAAAAAGTTCATCGTTCTGTTGTCGCTTGGGTCCAACTTTCAGTATTGTCGGTCCATTTCTCCCACACAGAGTTTCTTTTTACGCCGGGGAATCTCATTGGGCGCACAGTAAAACTTGATTATCACACGAAGAACCTCCAGCGAGGGAAGTTTGTGCGGCTGGCGCTGGAATTATACATGAACAAGCCTCTACCTACACGCATCTTTCTTGATGATTTTTGGCAGAAAATTGAATACGAAAACCTCCCACTGATTTGTTTCGATTGTGGTTGCATCGTGCACACGGAGGATAACTTCCCTAAGCGAAATCCGACTTCCAGTTTGGCCATGATCATTGCTCTGGCTGATGTGCAGGGATTGATGACGAGAAGTTGCTCGGACGAATCATTGACGAGATACGGGCCGTAGATGCAAGTGGTCCTCAAATCACGGGAACCCAATAAGATAATTTCCTCCAATAACGACCCAAATCACGGCAAACGGACGAGCTGAACCCCGGAGATTGGGCGCTCCAACGTTAAACTGCTCACTAAAGGAAACTCTTCGAATATGGTGGCAAGTATCCCACCAGAAAGAAAAGGAAAAACGATGGCAAAGCAGAGGTTTTGGCCACCCATAAAGGGAAAGCATTCGTCCCGACTGGAACTCCCATCTCGGCTACAAAGGCTGGAGAAAGTCAAACCTTCCGAATAGTTGGGCCTAAGGATGTTGTGAGCTCAAAGGAACTCAGTCCCCATCGTTAGAAAAGTCTACTTCAGCCAGCCCATCTGGCACTTACGAGCCTTCACTCCCAGTCACAAGAATCCTGGGCCCAAACAACACCCAGATCCAAGTGATGAGTGTTCTGCCTTTGGAGCGCCCTGAGAAGGAAAACAACAATCCAAATGAGAGCTCCTCCATTCGACACCATTACCGAAGAAATCTAGCCAACACATCCCCAAATTAGGGAAAGAATAAGGGTCTTAACCTCAAATCCTCCAAGAAGCCGGTTCAATTGACCCAGACTGCGAAAAAGGAATTGAAGAAGGAGCTAACGATAAGGTTGCAGGAGTCCGCTCTCCCCCTCTCCATTAGCTTTGCCAGTGTCAACGCTTCATGAATTTGATTAATGACCCTAACCTTTTCGATTTGGGTTTTTTAGGTTCTCGCTTCATATGGTTCAAAGGCGATTCTCCAGCAAACCAAAAGGCTAGCTACATTGATCTCTCGCTCTGCAACTCAGCTTAGAATGCAACCTTTGCAAACACAACTGTCCTTCATCTCCCCAAACCTTTGCAAACATGACTATCCTATCTATCTTTCCGAGCCCCTCTAACAATATGGGAGGAGCCAAGTCATTCTGCTTTGAGATGGCCTGGCTTCTCCACGAGAGGGTTTTATTTTATTTTTTTACAGGTGCCTGGAATCCCGATGCTGATCTCCATCAAGGATTAAAAGATATTGCATCCAAGATCCAAGAGCGGAACAAACTCACTTTCGGTGTCATTAGGCATCGCAAGAGAAGGCTGTTGGCCAGGTTTAGGGGATCCAAAATCGTATCAACGCGTCCAATGCCCCCGAGGTGGCTGAAACTTCAAACTAAACTGGAGAAAGAACTGGATGACTTCCTCGCTCAAGAGGAAGTGATTTGGTTTAAGCGTGGAAAAGAGAACTGGGACAAGTTTGGCGAGCATAATACCTCTTTCTTCCATCAACAGGCCAATAGAAGCAGGAGGAGGAACAAAATTCTTACTCTACGAGATCCCAACGGGAATTGGGTGAAGGATCTGATGGCTTTGCGGGACTTAATCATTGAGTTCTTCACTACCCTTTACACGCAGGAGTAGCCGAACTATAATGACCTTATGCCTAATAACTATTTTCCTCGTATCAATCATGAGGATCTTCTTACTCTCTTGCGCCCTTTCATTATTAATATTTTCCATAAATCATTTTTTGATATGAAACCTTTCTCGGTGCCGGGTGGTCGGGGCCAGATGGTTTCAAGACGGGTTTCTATAAAAAAAAACTGTGGTCTTTGGTATGAAAGAATTTAACTAACACAACGCTTAATTTTTTCAACACAAGTGAAGTCAAAGAGGAGTTGGTGGAGTCAACCATCATCCTCATCTCGAAACTGAGAATCCCTGAGAGTCCGGCCCACTTTCATCCGATTTGCCTGAATAATGTGTGTCTCAAGGAAATCACGAAAGCCATCGCCAATAGATTGAGACATGTGATGACAAAATTGGTGGCACCAATCAAAGCAGTTTTATTCCAGGCCTGCAAACAAATGACAATATCATTATTCTCCAAGAAGTGCTCCACTCCTTCTGTAAGAAAAAGGGAGCTAAAGGGGGCCTCATTATGAAAATTTACTTGGAGAAAGCTTATGACAAGCTTCGGTAGGAATTCATTCGATACACGCTGATGGTAATTGACCTTCCCATACCTGGGTTAGTCGGATCATGTTCTATGTTCAGCAAACCAAGATGCGGATTAACTGGAATGGGCAGCTCATAGACCAAATTATCCCTTCTAGAGGAGTCCGCCAGGGGGACCCCTGATCTCCCTATCTCTTTGTGTTATGCATTGAAAGACTCGCTCATTGAATTGAAAAGGTAGTTGGCGATAAACTTTGGAAGCCTATCTCTCTTTCGAAGGATGACCCAAAGCTAACCCATTTGTTTTTTGCTGATGACCTTGTTCTTTTTGCAAAGGCAAAGGGTGCCAGCTTGCGGTAATTCGAAGATTTTTGGATGAGTTTTGTGTTAGCTCTGGTCAACAAGTCAATCTCAATAAGTCGGTCATGCTGGTCTCTCTCAACGTTCATCGGGATAAAGTGCAGACTCAGAGACCGGACTAGGATTCCGCTTACTGCAGATCTAGGGAAATATCTGGGCATTCATACTATAAATGGGAGAGTCTCAAAAGCCAGATATAAGGACCCGACTTTAAAGATGCAAAGGAAACTCACTCCTCAGAAGACCAAACACCTGTCACTTGTCGCCCGAATTACTCTGGTGAAGTCTTTTTCGTCCTCAATGTTTGTTTACCCCATGTTTACCGAACGAATACCTGCCACTGTTTGTTCCTCTCTTGGCAGGATCAACACGCAATTTGTATGGGGGCGAGGAGGATGGGAAGACTAAGTTTCACCTGGTGGCATGGGACAGATGATTTTTCCTAGGGATCAAGGGGGCGTCGGTATTAGTCGTACCAAACTTGCCAATTAGGCGATGCTCGCCAAGGGATCATGAAAGATTGTCGTAAACGACCAATCCCTTTGGACTCGGGTCATGAAAGGAAATATGGTTGCTCTATAGACGACATCAATGGTCTCACCAACAGAAAAGAAAATTCAATTGTATGGCATAGTTTCAGTCAAGTTAAAACTGTGCTATGAAAAGGAAGTGTCATTGGTGTTTGTAATGGTAAAGGAACTAAATTCTGGACTGATTTGTGGGTGTCGCAGGTTCCTCTAGCAAAGGTTCCTAGTTAAAAGATTGTGTGTGCTGACTTGAACTGTTCGGTGGCATCCTATTGGAATCCAGACCGGGCTGGAAGACGGAGGAGTTCACGAACTATATCCCTCCAGAAACTTGGATAATATTTGAGCAATTATGGTTGACCCGCTCTCAAGCAAAGAAGACAAACCGAGATGGAATTTAACTACAAGTGGCCACTTCTCAGCCAAATTGGCGTACAAAGCTATCTCTCCACCGACCACTTGCCTCACAACCTCTCTTTGGAAGACGATATGGAAAGTCTAGGTACCGGAAAGAGTACGAGTGTTCATTTGGATGGCGGTTAATGGGAAATTATCAACCAATAGTGTGAGGAAATTTCGACACCTCACTGATATGATAGCTGTGTTGAATGCGATGGGGTCCCCGAAACCATCACCCACGGCCTCCGCGATTGTTAGAAGGCGAACTCCCTTTGGGCGAAGATCATTCCCAGCTCTCAGTTAACTGATTTCTTAGCCAGGAAAGGCACCTCCTGGTTGCAAATGAACCTGATGAACCACCGGTTGGGACCTTGGCCAGGTGAACGGAACAACTACTTCTGTCTTCTAATCTGGTTTTTTTAGAAGGAGAGAAATGAGAAAGTCTTTCGATCGAGGTGCAACCCTTTCTCCTTCCTCGTTTGTTAATTATGTTACGTCTAAAGCTAAAGAGTGGGCAAAAGTTTGGGAGACTGTGAGTCGTAACATGGGTAAGAATCCTCATTCGCCCCGCTTAGAGGTTTTAATTGGCTGGTCTCCTCCCCCGACGGGATGGCTAAAGCTCAACAACAATGGCGCTGCTCAGGGAGTGAATGGAGATATGCGACAGGAGGGGTGATTCGGGACAATGCAGGAGACTGGCGTGGAGGTTTCCTCTACTGGATCGAATCTGGATCAGCCGTCATGGCTGAGTTATGGGGCATCTACCACGGTCTGCAAATAGCTTGGAGGAAAGGTACTCAATTTCTTATCCTTCAATCCGACTTAAATCTAGTGCTAGATTTGATTAAGCAAACACCCAACCCGCTTCATCGTCATGCCAACATTCTTGGGGGTATTCACCGTATGTTACCTCAGAACTGGGTTGTGTAGCTAGTTCATACATATTGCGAGGGGAATAGAGTCGCAGACTTGCTCTCGAAGCACAGTCTCGTCTATCCCTTTGGAGTGTATGAACTACAACAAATTCTGCCTATTATGACGAAGGAATTTTGTCTTATTAGATACTGATTTTGTCCTATTAGGTATAATATGACAAGGTGTTGTCACAAATGTTTGTCATTTTATCGGCGTCAAGATAGGTCAAATGTGACAAAAATTTAAAACAAGGTTGTCACATTTGCTTTCATTATAGCTGAGGTTTTGGGTAATCTATTGTGACAAATAGAGATGTTATGACGACATATTTTGTCATTACGATTGTCATAATCTGGTGATTTGGGGAGAATTGTTCATCACATTACATGTATATATTTTGTCATAACTGTATATTGTGACGACTGCATCTGTCACAAGTGTTTATTGTGACAACATTATTTTGTCATAGCTGAATATTATAATTAATATATTTTGTGCTTCAAAAATTTCATAATTCGAAATTGTTTTCTGCATTGGAACCTGATAATGGAAAGATTACCAAAAACCCTAAACATTACAACCATTTCCATAGCAGTCTAACCTGCCACTCTCGTATAACAATTAACTAGAGCAGCGACAAATTACATTACAGCCTCTAATCTATTGAACACAGAAAAATAAGGGCAAGACTAGATCGAGGATGTTGGGATTGGTTTGTCGGTCGCTGTCATCGAGGATTTAGATCTTGAACCTCGCTCTAGCTCGCCGTCTCTGGTCTACAGGAAAGACTAGAGGAATGGCCGATTTTACCACTGCTATTACTGGCCAGTATTGTCGCCAACGATTCCTTTTCCATCTTTCCTCTCCTCGTATGAAACCTCCACCCAAAAACCCAGAAAGCAAAATAAAACGATTAGAAACCTAAAAACACCCCCAAAACAAGTATCGGAAAAAAATACATGCATTAACCTTACCTTTGTAGCCAGCATCATCGGCGTCAGTCTGTTCCGTCGGCCTCATGTTCCTTTCTTCTTCCTCCTTGTCATAAACAGAACAGAGAAAAGGTGAAGCTAGATCCAGAGAGGGGAAAGGGGATTATGATTTTGTTTATCGCAAAGAGGCAGCGACAGATCGAGAAAGCTAGGGTTTCGGATTTCGTTTTTTCTTCTTCTTCTTCTTCTTTGTTTTGTTTGATCTTCCAAGTAGAGAGAGTGATAGGGAGAGGTGAGGTTGATTGACCTTCAATGTACTGACGTCGTCATTGCCATCTCTGTCGGCATTCATCGCCGTCGTGCCCTTCGATGTCGCCTCCCTTTCGTATCTCTTCAGTTCCATCTTTGATAGAAGAGAAGGGAGGGAGATTAGGTTAGATTGAGAAATCAAAGCGGCAGATTGAGTCATTTTTTTAGAAGATATGGAGAGAGGGGAAGTATCTTTGCTCGATCTGAAAAGGGGATGGAAAGAATAGATCGAAGAGAAGGAGAGAAGGAAAGAATAGATAGAAGTTTGATTTTTTTTCTAGAGAAAATGAAGAGAGAATTGAGAGAAGTGAGAGGCCGAGTGGCAGAGATCATAAGAGGAAAATGGTTAGTTTTTTTTGCTAGAGTTTAAGAGATGCTTATATACCTCTGATCGTATAAAGCACGTATTATATTTGTATAACACATTTAACATCCGTATTTCATGAATTAAATTGTAACTTAAATATTATATAGATATTTATTCATTTTTAAATAATTGAATATATACTTTTTATGTTAACATTTACAGACCAAAGCCGAAACAATTATATTATGACGAACATGTCATTTTGTCAGCTCACCGTGGGACTATTGATATCTATTGTAACAAAATACTTTGTCATTTAAACAATTCAGAAAGGCATAATATGACAAAAGCTACTCTGACGATATAATTTGTCACTTTTGTGTCTCTTACATCCCTATATGGGATGCCTATTTTGACAAACTTAACTGTGATACGAAATATCTGTCACATTACTCACTTTAAATGACGAAATATTCTGACAACAGAAAATTGTCACTATTGAGTCTCTTACATCTCGATATGGGACGCCTATTTTGACAAAATTAATTGCGAAACGAAATATTTGTCACGTTACTCACTTTAAATGACGACTTATTCTGACCAATTTTATTTTTGTCACATTAGGCAAACCAAATAGGACATATATAATTTTAGTCATATCACCGTACCTATTGTGACAAACAGAAAATGACAAAATAAAAATTTTGTCCTAATAGGCCGAATTTGTTGTAGTGATGAACTAGAAGGACCACCCATCAAGCTTGATAGGATCATGAGAGATTATATATGGGGGGTCAGCTTGCCAAGGCTGATTGTTCAGACTGACAGATGAAGACGTCTGCTGTCTGCTTTTGTTTCTGCTCGTGGTGGGAATCTGTTTTGCCCCTGGAGGTCTTTCCTTTAGTCTATATTTTGGCTTTTACTTGCCTTGTCATGAGTCATGAGTACCTGGCGGTGATGAAGAGTGCTCTTGGGGTGAGATGAGCTGAGATGATGGGGGACCTATGGTTTGTTTCCTGGGGCACGTGGTCCATTGATGATGCGCCAAACCTGCCTTTGAGATTGTGGAGGGGGACCATGGGGCAGTACTTTTGAAAATTTTCTCGTTCCTCGCTTTCCAAGTCTGCCATACGAGAAAAATAATCTTCTGAATCGAGCTGATCGAGAAGCTGTGTCGAGGGGAATCCAACCAATCCAGGAAGGGAGTGAGGGAAGCAGGTGGAGGCAATGATGGCCATTCCTGATTCCATCCTTCAGCCGCGTGTGGGCAGGTGAATAAGTAGTGATGAATCGATTCAGAAGGGAAAGCACAGATCGGGAACACCTTCGAAGCAGAGCATTTCCTCGCAAATAGATTCTCTTTAGAAGCCATGGCCCCTCTGGTCACCCTCCAAACGAAAAACTTCAGCTTCGGGGGGATAGATACGGACAAATCATTGACGAGATACGGGCCGTAGATGCAAGTGGTCCTCAAATCACGGGAACCCAATAAGATAGTTTCCTCCAATAAAGACCCAAATCACGGCAAACGGACGAGCTGAACCCCGGAGATTGGGCGCTCCAACGTTAAACTGCTCACTAAAGGAAACTCTTCAAATATGGTGGCAAGTATCCCACCAGAAAGAAAAGGAAAAACGATGGCAAAGCAGAGGTTTTGGCCACCCATAAAGGGAAAGCATTCGTCCCGACTGGAACTCCCATCTCGGCTACAAAGGCTGGAGAAAGTCAAACCTTCCGACTAGTTGGGCCTAAGGATGTTGTGATCTCAAAGGAACTCAGTCCCCATCGTTAGAAAAGTCTACTTCAGCCAGCCCATCTGGCACTTAGGAGCCTTCACTCCCAGTCACAAGAATCCTGGGCCCAAACAACACCCAGATCCAAGTGATGAGTGTTCTGCCTTTGGAGCGCCCTGAGAAGGAAAACAACAATCAAAATGAGAGCTCCTCCATTCGACACCATTACCGAAGAAATTTAGCCAACACATGACCAAATTAGGGAAAGAATAAGGGTCTTAACCTCAAATCCTCCAAGAAGCCGGTTCAATTGACCCAGACTGCGAAAAAGGAATTGAAGAAGGAGCTAACGATAAGGTTGCAGGAATCCGCTCTCCCCCTCTCCATTAGCTTTGCCAGTGTCAACGCTTCATGAATTTATTAATGACCCTAACCTTTTCGATTTGGATTTTTCAGGTTCTCGCTTCATATGGTTCAGAGGCGATTCTCCAGCAAACCAAAAGGCTAGCTACATTGATCTCTCGCTCTGCAACTCAGCTTAGAATGGAACCTTTGCAAACACAACTGTCCTTCATCTCCCCAAACCTTTGCAAACATGACTATCCTATCTATCTTTTTGAGCCCTTCTAACAATATGGGAGGATCCAAGTCATTCTGCTTTGAGATGGCCTGGCTTCTCCACGAGAGGTTTTTATTTTATTTTTTTACAGGTGCCTGGAATCCCGATGCTGATCTCCATCAAGGATTAAAAGATATTGCATCCAAGCTCCAAGAGCGGAACAAACTCACTTTCGGTATCATTAGGGATCGCAAGAGAAGGCTGTTGGCCAGGTTTAGGGGATCCAAAATCGTATCAACGCGTCCAATGCCCCGAGGTGGCTGAAACTTCAAACTAAACTGGAGAAAGAACTGGATGACTTCCTCGCTCAAGAGGAAGTGATTTGGTTTAAGCGTGGAAAAGAGAACTGGGACAAGTTTGGCGAGCATAATACCTCTTTCTTCCATCAACAGGCCAATAGAAGCAGGAGGAGGAACAAAATTCTTACTCTACGAGATCCCAACGGGAATTGGGTGAAGGATCTGATGGCTTTGCGGGACTTAATCATTGAGTTCTTCACTACCCTTTACACGCAGGAGTAGCCGAACTATAATGACCTTATGCCTAATAACTATTTTCCTCGTATCAATCATGAGGATCTTCTTACTCTCTTGCGCCCTTTCATTATTAATATTTTCCATAAATCATTTTTTGATATGAAACCTTTCTCAGTCCCGGGTGTTCGGGTCCAGATGGTTTCAAGACGGGTTTCTATAAAAAAAAACTGTGGTCTTTGGTATGAAAGAATTTGACTAACACAACGCTTAATTTTTTCAACACAAGTGAAGTCAAAGAGGAGTTGGTGGAGTCAACCATCATCCTCATCCCGAAACTGAGAATCCCTGAGAGTCCGGCCCACTTTCATCCGATTTGCCTGAATAATGTGTGTCTCAAGGAAATCACGAAAGCCATCGCCAATAGATTGAGACATGTGATGACAAAATTGGTGGCACCAATCAAAGCAGTTTTAATCCAGGCCTGCAAACAAATGACAATATCATTATTCTCCAAGAAGTGCTCCACTCCTTCTGTAAGAAAAAGGGAGCTAAAGGGGGCCTCATTATGAAAATTTACTTGGAGAAAGCTTATGACAAGCTTCGGTAGGAATTCATTCGATACACGCTGATGGTAATTGACCTTCCCATACCTGGGTTAGTCGGATCATGTTCTACGTTCAGCAAACCAAGATGCGGATTAACTGGAATGGGCAGCTCATAGACCAAATTATCCCTTCTAGAGGAGTCCGCCAGGGGGACCCCTGATCTCCCTATCTCTTTGTGTTATGCATTGAAAGACTCGCTCATTGAATTGAAAAGGTAGTTGGCGATAAACTTTGGAAGCCTATCTCTCTTTCGAAGGATGACCCAAAGCTAACCCATTTGTTTTTTGCTGATGACCTTGTTCTTTTTGCAGAGGCAAAGGGTGCCAGCTTGTGGTAATTCGAAGATTTTTGGATGAGTTTTGTGTTAGCTCTGGTCAACAAGTCAATCTCAATAATTCGGTCATGCTGATCTCTCTCAACGTTCATCGGGACAAAGTGCAGACTCAGAGACCGGGCTAGGATTTCGCTTACTGCAGATCTAGGGAAATATCTGGGCATTCACACTATAAATGGGAGAGTCTTAAATGCCAGATATAAGGACCCGAATTCAAAGATGCAAAGGAAACTCACTCCTCAGAAGACCAAACACCTGTCACTTGCCGGCCGAATTACTCTGGTGAAGTCTTTCTCGTCCTCAATGTTTGTTTACCCCATGTTTACCGAACGAATACCTGCCACTGTTTGTTCCTCTCTTGGCAGGATCAACATGCAATTTGTATGAGGGCGAGGAGGACGGGAAGACTAAGTTTCACCTGGTGGCATGGGACGGATGATTTTTCCTAGGGATCAAGGGGGCGTCGGTATTCGTCCCACCAAACTTGCCAATTAGGCGATGCTCGCCAAGGGATCATGAAAGATTGCCGTAAACGACCAATCCCTTTGGACTCGGGTCATGAAAGGAAATATGGTTGCTCTATAGACGACATCAATGGTCTGACCAACAGAAAAGAAAATTCAATTGTCTGGCATAGTTTCAGTCAAGTAAAACTGTGCTATGAAAAGGAAGTGTCATCGGTGTTTGTAATGGTAAAGGAACTAAATTCTGAACTGATTTGTGGGTGTCGCAGGTTCCTCTAGCAAAGGTTCCTAGTTAAAAGATTGTGTGTGCTGACTTGAACTGTTCGGTGGCATCCTATTGGAGTCCAGACCGGGGCTGGAAGACGGAGGAGTTCACGAACTATATCCCTCCAGAAACTTGGATAATATTTGAACAATTATGGTTGACCCGCTCTCAAGCAAAGAAGACAAACCGAGATGGAATTTAACTACAAGTGGCCACTTCTCAGCCAAATTGGCGTACAAAGATATCTCTCCACCGACCACTTGCCTCACAACCTCTCTTTGGAAGACGATATGGAAACTCTAGGTACCGGAAAGAGTACGAGTGTTCATTTGGATGGCGGTTAATGGGAAATTATCAACCAATAGTGTGAGGAAATTTCGACACCTCACTGATATGATAGCTGTGTTGACTGCGATGGGGTCCCCGAAACCATCACCCACGGCCTCCGCGATTGTTAGAAGGCAAACTCCCTTTGGGCGAAGTTCATTCCCAGCTCTCAGTTAACTGATTTCTTAGCCAGGAAAGGCACCTCCTGGCTGCAAATGAACCTGATGAACCACCGGTTGGGACCTTGGCCAGGTGAACGGAACAACTACTTCAGTCTTCTAATCTGGTTTTTTTAGAAGGAGAGAAATGAGAAAGTCTTTCGATCGAGGTGCAACCCTTTCTCCTTCCTCGTTTGTTAATTATGTTACGTCTAAAGCTAAAGAGTGGGAAAAAGTTTGGGAGACTGTGAGTCGTAATGGTAAGAATCCTCATTCGCCCCGCTTAGAGGTTTTAATTGGCTGGTCTCCTCCCCCGGCGGGATGGCTAAAGCTCAACAACAATGGCGCTGCTCAAGGAGTGAATGGAGATATGCGACGGGAGGGGTGATTCGGGACAATGCAGGAGACTGGCGTGGAGGTTTCCTCTACTGGATCGAATCTGGATCAGCCGTCATGGCTGAGTTATGGGGCATCTACCACGGTCTGCAAATAGCTTGGAGGAAAGGTACTCAATTTCTTATCCTTCAATCCGACTCAAATCTAGTGCTAGATTTGATTAAGCAAACACCCAACCCGCTTCATCGTCATGCCAACATTCTTGGGGGTATTCACCGTATGTTATCTCAGAACTGGGTTGTGTAGCTAGTTCATACATATCGCGAGGGGAATAGAGTCGCAGACTTGCTCTCGAAGCACAGTCTCGTCTATCCCTTTGGAGTGAATGAACTACAACAAATTTGTCCTATTAGGTATAATATGACAAAAAGTGTTGTCACAAATGTTTGTCATTTTATCGGCGTCAAGATAGGTCAAATGTGACAAAAATTTAAAACAAGGTTGTCACATTTGCTTTAATTATAGCTGAGGTTTTGGGTAATCTATTGTGACAAATAGAGATGTTATGACGACATATTTTGTCATTACGATTGTCATAATCTGGTGATTTGGGGAGAATTGTTCATCACATTACATGTATATATTTTGTCATAACTGTATATTGTGACGACTGCATCTGTCACAAGTGTTTATTGTGACAACATTATTTTGTCATAGCTGAATATTATAATTAATATATTTTGTGCTTCAAAAATTTCATAATTCGAAATTGTTTTTTGCATTGGAACATGATAATGGAATGATTACCAAAAACCCTAAACATTACAACCATTTCCATAGCAGTCTAACCTGCCACTCTCGTATAACAATTAACAAGAGCAGCGACAGATCGAGAAAGCTAGGGTTTCGGGTTTCATTTTTTTTTTCTTCTTCTTTGTTTTGTTTGATCTTCCAAGTAGAGAGAATGATAGGGAGAGGTGAGGTTGATTGACCTTCAATGTACTGACGTCGGCATTCATCGCCGTCGTGCCCTTCGATGTCGCCGCCCTTTCGTTTCTCTTTAGTTTCATCTTTGATAGAAGAGAAGGGAGGGAGATTAGGTTAGATTGAGAAATCAAAGCGGCAGATTGAGTCATTTTTTTAGAAGATATGGAGAGAGGGGAAGTATCTTTGCTCGATCTGAAAAGGGGATGGAAAGAATAGATCGAAGAGAAGGAGAGAAGGAAAGAATAGATAGAAGTTTGATTTGTTTTCTAGAGAAAATGAAGAGAGAATCGAGAGAAGTGAGAGGCCGAGCGGCAGAGATCATAAGAGGAAAATGGTTAGTTTTTTTTTGCTAGAGTTTAAGAGATGCTTATATACCTCTGATCGTATAAAGCACGTATTATATTTGTATAACACATTTAACATCCGTATTTCATGAATTAAATTGTAACTTAAATATTATATAATTATTTATTCATTTTTAAATAATTGAATATATACTTTTTATGTTAACATTTACAGACCAAAGTCGAAACAATTATATTATGACGAACATGCCATTTTGTCAGCTCACCGTGGGACTATTGATATCTATTGTAACAAAATACTTTGTCATTTAAACAATTCAGAAAGGCATAATATGACAAAAGCTACTCTGACAATATAATTTTTCACTTTTGTGTCTCTTACATCCCTATATGGGATGCCTATTTTGACAAACTTAACTGTGATACGAAATATCTGTCACATTACTCACTTTAAATGACGAAATATTCTGACAACAGAAAATTGTCACTATTGAGTCTCTTACATCTCGATATGGGACGCCTATTTTGACAAAATTAATTGCGACACGAAATATTTGTCACATTACTCACTTTAAATGACGACTTATTCTGACCAATTTTATTTTTGTCACATTAGGCAAACCAAATAGGACATATATAATTTTAGTCATATCACCGTACATATTGTGACAAACAGAAAATGACAAAATAAAATTTTTGTCCTAGTAGGCCGAATTTATTGTAGTGATGAACTAGAAGGACCACCCATCAAGCTTGATAGGATCATGAGAGATTATATATTGGGGGTCAGCTTGCCAAGGCTGATTGTTCAGACTGACAGATGAAGACGTCTGCTGTCTGCTTTTGTTTCTGCTCGTGGTGGGAATCTGTTTTGCCCTGGAGGTCTTTCCTTTAGTCTATCTTTTGGCTTTTACTTGCCTTGTCAAGGTACTGCTCGCTTGTGAGCTAACATGTCTATGTTATTCCCTTTTTTTTTTTACAAAGGACACTGAAATTCCATTAAATGTAGCAAAAGCCAAACATTACAAAAGGGGAGCAACCACATCAAGAATCTGTAGCCATTGTGGGGGCAATTGGTTTTTAGCACATGATCTAGCTACCCAATTAGCTTTAGAGTTGTTCCTTCTACCGATGTGCTTGATCTTGATCAGCGGATTGTCGTCCAGCGTTTGTTTGATGAGACCCCGCCAAGCTGCCGCTCGCCATGGCCATGTCTTAGGATGGCTATGAACTGCACGAACCAGGGGCAAGCAGTCAGATCGCACCAGGCAGGGAGATCTGAGGGATGCAGCTAACCGGGAGCCCTCCAGCAGGGCCTTTGCTTCTGCTTCAAGTGGGGAAAAACAGTGCAGGCTCTCAGCTTTACCGACACAAACTTGACCATGGCTATTCGAAACAACGACACCATATGCCGCCTCCTGGGAATCGTCGAAAAATGATCCATCGCAGTGTACTTCAAAGTCATGAGTACCTGGCGGTGATGAAGAGTGCTCTTGGGGTGAGATGAGCTGAGATGATGGGGGACCTATGGTTTGTTTCCTGGGGCACGTGGTCTATTGATGATGCGCCAAACCTGCCTTTGAGATTGTGGAGGGGGACCATGGGGCAGTACTTTTGAAAATTTTCTCGTTCCTCGCTTTCCAAGTCTGCCATACGAGAAAAATAATCTTCTGAATCGAGCTGATCGAGAAGCTGTGTCGAGGGGAATCCAACCAATCCAGGAAGGGAGTGAGGGAAGCAGGTGGAGGCAATGATGGCCATTCCTGATTCCATCCTTCAGCCGCGTGTGGGCAGGTGAATAAGTAGTGATGAATCGATTCAGAAGGGAAAGCACAGATCGGGCACACCTTCGAAGCAGAGCATTTCCTCGCAAATAGATTCTCTTTAGAAGCCATGGCCCCTCTGGTCACCCTCCAAACGAAAAACTTCAGCTTCGGGGGAATAGACAGACTCCAAAGCCACTTCCACCTTTGCTTACTCGCTTCCGAAATGACCTCTACATGTCCTTGTGCTTCTCTGACACGATTATGGAAATGGATGAAGGCTGACTTAACCGTAAAGACTCCCTGGTCAGTGAACCTCCATGCCCAGAAGTCTTCAAGAGACTCAGGACCAATTGGGATGGCAGCCACCTGTTTCAGATCATGTTGGCTAAGAAAATCAGCCAGCAGGTCGAACTTCCATTCTCTCAAAATATCATCGATCCAATTGTTTGCAGTAGTACTTTCATTCCAATTGAAATTAAGAAGAGGGCCCGCCCTGTCGAATCTCCAGGGGTCCTGGAAAAACTTCATTGTTTTTCCATTGCCAATCACCCGAATCAGATCCTGTCGCATCCATGTTTTTGCTTCACACAAACTAGACCAAATCCAGGAGGCCTTTCCTCCTTTTTTGCATTAAGAAAGTCCGAATTGGGGAAATAGATACTTTTCAGTACCTTGACCCACAAGGAATCCTTGTTGGTGAGGATTCTCCACGCCTGTTTGGCCAATAATGCCATGTTAAAAGTATGGAAAGGCCGAAATCCGAGTCCCCCCTCCTTTTTTGGTGCATACAGCACATGTCCAGCCCTCCAATGGATCGTTCTCTTCGTCATATTTCCTCCCCAGAAGAAATTTTTGAGCAAGTATTCCATTTTCTTCGTTGTACTCTTTGGCAGGAGGAACACGCACATAATGTATGATGGGACCACTTGAAAAACTGCTTTCAGCAAAACCTCTTTCCCTCTCGGGGAGAGAAAGAGGCTTTTCCATGCTTCCCCTCTTGTTTCCATGCGTTGGAGGAGGAAACTGAAATTTTCTTTCTTCGATCTGCTCCTTTCAGTAGGCACTCCAAGGTAGTTGGAATGACAATTAGTGGGTGCAAAACCAGCTTCCTGGATTATCCTTTCCTGATCGTCACTTGGAACATTGCAGCTGAAGAACATTGATGATTTATCCATGTTAACTTCTTGACTTGTGACTGCCCCATAGTCATGGAGGATGTCCAGGATCTTCCCTGCCTCTTCACACGAAGCCTCTCCCAAAATGACCGTGTCATCAGCAAAAAGACAGTGGGAAAGAGTAGGGCATGTTTTGTTGAGCTTGATACCTTTGATCCCATTGTTCAGGACGGCCTTTTCAATAAGGAAAGATAGAGCATTCGACATCAGGATGAAGAGAAGGGGCGAAAGGGGGTCCCCTTGTCGAATGCCCCTTGAGGGCTTGAAGCAGTGGTTGGTTCACCATTGAACAGCAAATTGAAGTTGACCGTGGAAATACAGGAGTGAACCTAGCCACACGCCCACACCAGACCTCGTTGAAACCATATTCCCTAAGAAGGTTAATCAGAAGACCCCATTCCACCAGATCGTAGGCTTTCCTCATATCAAGCTTCATCACCATCTCCCTTCGATTCCCTGTTTTGTGTTTCTTGAAATGGTTAAGAACCTGGTGGACTATGATGATATCGTCTTGGATTTGTCTACCCCCTGTGAAAGCCGATTGAAGCTCATTGACCAGCTCGGGAAACAAAGGTTGGAGCCTGTTTGTCATGATCTTGGTGATGACTTTGTACCTAAAATTACAGCAACTGATTGGCCTAAACTGGCTGATCATCTCAGGCGCCTCCACTTTGGGGATGATGGTAATGAAAGTATCATTCCAGTTATCAGGCATAACTCCTGTCAGGAAAAAATTTGTGATCTCGTGGCAGAAAGTATCCCCCAGAGTGCTCCAGTATTTTCTGAAGAAAAGACCTGGGAAACCATCAGGTCAGGGGCGGATACATGGCCCTCTAGGGGTGTCCCGGGACACCCCTAAAATTTGGGGAAACGATTATCCTACCTCCGGTAGTAGTTTCGTATGGGTATACAAAATATAATTGGTAATTCGGGACACCCTAACATTTGAAAAAATGATTAGCTTACCCTCGATAATAGTTTGCTTATGATTAACAAAATATAAGTGGTAGTCCGTGTTATTCCAACATAGGACACTACTATTATCAAACATATTCTAATTATGTTGCTACTCATTTGTCATTCTATTTTAAACATCATGCAACAGTAAAATGCTATTTCTTTATCCCCAACTATTTTCAATACCTAATAATTAAACTATGTACACACTACCCTTAATTTTGAATTGATTTTATGGTTACACGACAAGTGTTGAAAGAGTCTTTTCTACTTTGAGCTACATTAAGAACAAGGTTAGAAATCGAATATGTGATAAGTTCGTGAAGTATTGTCTAGTAGGATATGTAGATTTGTTTTGCACAGTGCATACACGGAGTTTATTTATATTATTTTTTCAAAATATGAATTTTAATTTATTATTTAATAAAAAATTTATACAAATTATACAAGTATGATATTTTTAATATACAAATTATTTAATTTATTATATAATTAAATTAAATTTTTGAAGAGGACACCCCTATGAAAATTTTCTGAATCCGCCACTGCATCAGGTCCTGGTGCCTTATTGGCTCCAAGCTGAAACACCGCCTTTTTTTATAACCAGATGGATTCCAGTTCTCGTTGGAGATTCCTTTCCTCAGTAGCCCTATCCGGGGAACCGTTTGTACCTTGTAACATTTGAAGTCTTTGTCTAGTCTCTTTTTCTCTCTTCAATTTGGTAAACCTGTCTTTCTTTGCCCAACTCTGTAAATCATTCTGACAGTCTGTCAGAATAGTGTTGATGTTCCCACCTCTCATCCATCGATCAGTAACAATTTGACAACACTCTTCGCTTTCCCTCCACCTTTTATCGAATCTGAAGGGAGTGCAGTGAGCTTTACTTGCTGGATGAAGGTCAATCCTTATTGGACAATGATCCGATTCCACAAAATCTTCGTGGTAAACCGTGGCCGCTTCAATTTTGTTTCTCCAAGAGGTCGAGCAAAGAGCTCGATCGAGCCTTTCTCTAATCAAGTCGTCCCCTTGCTGTTTATTGCTCCAAGTAAAAACTTGGCCAGAAAAACCAAGGTTCACCAATGCATTCCTAGCCATGAAATACTTAAACGGAGAGACATTTTCATTCCTTAAAGGGCATCTTCCCTGCTTCTCAAAAGGAAAGACAGCAACGTTGAGGTCCCCAACCACAAGCCACATATCTTCCTGACTCGTCCTTAAGGTCGTAAGTCGATCCCATAATTGTCGTCTCTCTACCGCCGTGGTAGGAGCGTGTACAAAAGTGCAGAAGAAACTAACCCCATTCTTACTAATACTGGTGTCCATGAAGGACTTACAAGAGTCTAAGACACTAATATCAACATCATCTTTCCACCATAGCGCAAGACCACTACCTTCCCTCTCTGGACCAACATACTCTAAGTGATCAAATTTCATAATTCTCTTCCTTTCTTCCATAAACGAGTCCTCCTTCCTTATCTCCATAAGAAAGAGAACCGAGGGGCCAAACTGACGACACAGCCTGCCGCAGTAACTCCTTGTAAGGGGTTGGCCGAACCCCCTACAATTCCAGTTGAGAACTCTCATTCGAGATGAGGTGGCTTGAGGCTTGCCGCCGTCACCCTCGGAGTGGTAGATTCCCCTTCTCCGGATTGGC